TTTTGATGTAATTTTTTGATATGGCGAGATGGTTTTGGTGACTATTGTCGTAACGTCATATTACACTGTATTAGATACTATATTTACTAAATTTAAAAAAAAATGTTAAAGACTAACGATCCAGTCCTGGTTTTAATTAACATTAATAACAATAACAGAACCAACGATATTAAAGAAAACATCTGTAATACTCAAGTATACAAAGAGAAAAAAATAATGTAAAAAAATACACTGGTATTAGGATTAGGGGCATATTATATTTATTCATATTTCAAGAAATTTCGTACCCGTTAATATATTTTTCCTATTAATAATTACAGAACCTTTGACGTTTAATTGTTCTTCTAGAATATTAATAGGTAGGTAGCGTGTTAATTTGTTATCTACAGCTAATAAAACATTGCTTCTTACAACGACTCCTTGGGGTGTGTCTGAAACTTCAACTTGATTAATAATTCCGTTTGCAGCAATGCTTTGACGATAAACAAAAGAGATTGACGTGTTCTAATAACAATTAATAGTAACTGGTAATCTTACTTGACATGTATTTAATGCATCGAATATTTTTTTGGTTTAAGGGAGTTTTTTGGCCAACTATTCCAACGTAAAAAAGGTAACGATGCTTGTTTTTGTAGGTATTACCGCGTGGACGAGAAACAAACATGTGCCTTTTTTAAATTTGGTCATGCTAAATAAAATGAGAATTATAGTTCTAAAAAAGCCTATCTCCTGCTGTCTATAAAAAGTATTTTAATAGTATATTATTTTTATTAGGCGTAAAAATGATACTTTTTGTGGCGAGACCGTACAGGGAGGGTCAAATTGGACGTTTTTAAAGGGAAATGTCCTTTTCTATAGGAGATAGAGGAAAACTAATATGGTGTCTGAAAGAAAAATTATACTTAAACCATTAAATTCTACGTAAAATAGTGGTTTGGAAATGTTTTTATAAAAATACGAAATTTTCCATAGCAAAAAAATTACAGCGATTTGTTAAAAATGCACACTTTTGAAAAACACCCCGAACCGGTAACTGATATTGCTATGCCGTTTTCACCATCATATTTTTGGCAAAAATTGAGCTTGACATAGCAATATTAGTTTTCGTGTATCTCCTATAGAAAAGGATGTTTACCTTTAAAAGCGTCCAATTTGGCCCACCCTGTACTTTTGACACTACAGGCAAGGCACAAAAAGTCATTTTTGCTCCGAACAGAACATGCTGTTTTTTTTTCGAACGTCACAAATAATTTAACATTTAATAACATTTCCAACCTTACAAATAATATAAATATATTTAAAAGTTATATACAGGGTGAGTTTCCTACGATGTTCTCTATGGGTATCTCGGAAACTACTGGAGATAGAGAGTCGGTTAAATGGGGAAAGAATTGCAGTTTTGTGGAGTCATAAATATGCGCCTTTCAGATTTTTGAAAAAGTTCATGGCTTCTAGATATTTCGAAAAAAACAAATTTCGGCTTTTTTAAAAATTGTCCCTGATTCCATTATAAGCTATTTTTGACAAAAAGTTTTCAGATAAAAGTTGTAGATAATCACATCCTTTATGAGACTGTGCCCTCCGTTTTCTTCTTATGCCAGTCATTTTTGACATATGACACAAACATATGTTTTTTTAAATGGAAACCATAGTTGGCCATAACTTCATAAAAAGCGTCATTTTTTAAGCTTTTTAGCGATATAAGCTATAATATGTTTTCTTCTTGGAAACAAGTTCAATCGTCGTTGCTCTCGAGTGGCGGTACAAGAGAAGTTTAATTAAGTCGACCAGTCCTTCTATGAGAATAGGTAGTAATTCATTTTTATAAAGATGCAACTCAAAATAATGGCGGATTTTTTGAACATTTTCTAAAATAACTTAAAGTGAAAGTGTATGCAGTGATATTATTTTTTAAGTTTTAGTTTGTGGCAATGTAAATTGTAAGGAACCGTTTAGTAATATATTTTGACTTTTTATAAGTTAAGAATCATAACAGAATAAGAATACCATGGCAATCTAATTGAAATTAGTCAAGAAAGATAAGAATTGGCTATAACCAAATTTAACTAAATGTCTTGAAAACCGTTCTCTAAAAAACGTAACATTCACCGGTCAACGTATCGTCGAAAATGTATGGTCAAGAAAAGTTGAACCAATAATCCTACACGCTTTTCTTTTTTTGGAAAAATTCATATTTACAATGTTTGCTTATTTTAATTTACAAAGTTTAGATGTGACAGCTTCACATTTCCGAGAGCAAAGGCGATTAAACTTGTTTCCATGGCTAACGAAGTGAAATTGTTTAAAAATGAAAAGAATTGGCTATAACTCAGTAATTTTTCGAAGAAAACATATTATAGCTTATATCGCTGAAAAGCTTAAAAAATGGCGCTTTTTATGAAGTCATGGCCAACTATGGTTTCCATTTAAAAAACATATGTTTGTGTCATATGTCAAAAATGACAGGCTTTAGAAGAAAACGGAGGACACAGTCTCATAAAAATATGATTATCTACAACTTTTATCTGAAAACTTTTTGTCAAAAATAGCTTATAATGGAATTAGGGACAATTTTTAAAATAGCCGAAATTTGTTTTTTTCGAAATATCTAGTAAGCCATGAACTTTTTCAAAAATATGAAAGGGGTATATTTATGAACCCACAAAACTGAAATTCTTTCCCCATTTAAGCGACTCTCTATCTCCAGTAGTTTCCGAGATACCCATAGAGAACATCGTAGGAAACTCACCCTGTGTATAAGTAATTATTATTTCTACTTGTTTAAGTAGAAATGTTATATGTATAAGTAATTATTATTTCTACTTTTTATTTCGTCAGTTGGACTGAACGATAGAACTGAACTATAGAACTTCTACGAAACAACTGAAGCAAATAAACATGCGAATTTATAGTAATCTAGAATTCGATAGTAAACAAAATAATGCGATCCTAGATACGTATCGGTAGTTTTATCGAATCCCGCATACGAATAACTGCAATTTAAAACCATGCTCCATTGTAGCATTCGATATTTTTATTGATTCCACAAAACCATCGAAACTATATCGTGTGCTACTGTACGTGTTAAATGATTTTAGATAAAATATCGTAAATTCGTTAAAAGAAAGGAAACTATTTCTACAATACCAACTTGCAAAATATTTTTCCGTTTGGGTAAAGTCACTTTAATATGGAAAGTAAAAGCCACTATCTAGAGTGGGTTTGGCAATAAAAGCTTTTATAATGCATAATATACAAAAAGCAAATGGGTGTGGCGAATAGTGCTTTGTATAAATCTGATATTTGTGACTTTCTTCAAACGTCAAATTGGCCGTTACTTTTTATATACTCTACTTTTACAAATAACGTATTGATTTCCTAAAAAATGATACTAAAATTATCAGAAACTTACACAAACTTTTCAAATACAATATATTTGTTATCAATATTATTATATTATACATTGATATGGATTATATGGTACTGGGATAACTGCAATTAATCGAAGATATTTAAAAAAAACTAATTACGATTTAATTAATTACATTTGGGCTTGGAACTTTTGGTGTTACAACAGCAAAATAAAACAGTGATTTACCTGTTCACCACAATTCACCAAAACTCTTTACTTTCACACTGGACGGCGAGTTTTGCTAACCCTGTTAGCATCATCAGCAGATGATTAAAACTAAAAAAAAACAGTCTTAATAATATGATGATAATGCTAACATGGTTAGCAAAACGCGCGTCCTGTAGAAAAGTGTTTTGGTGTATTGTGTTGAATTAGTGTTTTACTTTGCTCTTCCAATTTAGTTCTTGTAATATAATGAATTATATTTATAGTTAACTTTTTCTCCGTATTTGGTCTACTTTTAATAATACAATTCAATTAGAATTATAACCTAATCTTTAATAGTTTTCCAACATTTCGATCATACATTTTGATCTTTTTCAAAGAACGATTACAATACAGGGTGTCCCAGAAATAAGTGCAAGTATTTTAAGGGGTGGTATATATGGTCAAAAGAAACATTTTTTCTCTTTACCGTTTTTCAATTAAGTCCAAAATAACCGAGTTATTTTACTTCAAAGATTAAAAAAAAATTTTTTTTGCTAAAATTTTGAGAACCACTGAATCTTTTATGGATTTTCTTTCATGTAAATTTAAGCTACTACCTAGTATGTTACCATATTATCAAGAAATTATGTTTTTAACTTAAAACTAAAAAAATTCCGAATTTTATTTTTTTTTCGCAAAAAAATACCTTATAGGCGTGTTTCTGAGGCCGAAATATACTACCAGTTAAAATACTTGCACTTATTTCTAGGACACCCTGTATAACGAGAATAATAATTTTAAAACAAAAATGATGAAAACTTACCATTGAACGTAGATATATTTTGTCATTTAATTACATTAATTGACATTATAAAATTGATACAGAAACACATTTATAAAAATTAAAATGTCTTTGTGTGTACAAAAACCAAACTAATGAATCGCATTGACAAACTATATCATTTTAAGCCGTTGACGTTCTGTTAAAATGAAATTATATGAAGTCAAACTAACAATTACTATTACAGTTGGGGCTTGGAACTATTGGTTTTACAACAACAAAATAAAGCACTAATTCACCACATTACACCAAAACACTTTACTTTTACACGCTGGACGCGCGTTTCGGTCACCATGTTAGCATCATCAGCAGATGAAAAAAACTACGCTGATGATGCCACATGGTTAAATCATCCAGTGTTTAAAGATAAAGTATTTCGGTGTATTGTGGTGAATTAGTTTTCTAACAATCACTACCTTTTATTTTTATAACTACTTATTATTTACTACCTAAAAATAATTGAGGTACTTCAAACCAAATAGCTTTAGACTTTCTGAATTTGAATATTTTTAGTTTGTTTTTAATTTTTATTTATATTACCTTTATTAAAATAAAAGAAGGGATTATAAACTTTTGTTTATATTTTTATTTTCTTTTTAGGTCGTCAATGCGGTACTAGCAGTTGTTCTGATTCAGGCACTAAGAAAAGAAGAAGAAAGTTCGCAAACGTACGCAAAATAATGACAACACACTATCATATTGTAGTTTTACTATAGTTTTACCACGTACCTTGTATTTTTATTGTTTTTATTTTTATGTTAGATTAGCTTAAGAGGGCATGTTCTAAAAAAAGCTTGTCCAGCATGTTCTAAAAAAGTACCTCTGTCAATATTTCAAAGAGATTGTTCCACGATTTTTTCATTGTTTCAAAAGTGTTCATACTTATATAAAACATTATTATTTAATTTTTTGTATAGAAAATATTGTGTATAAAATAATAAATATATTAAATAAATAAAGTATTTATAATTAATATTGTGTGTATGCTTTTCTATACATGCCTCAAAAACATTGAAAAGCTTAAAATTGTTTCTCTTCCGTTCGACTTCAAAAATTTGATATTCACGTCAATATGATTCATACTTGTAGGTGGCGCCACCTACATGTTTTGCTCTGTTATGAGGAGTTATAACTGTTCAACCGAACTTGAATAATTAAACTACTGAGTGAAAAAATATAAATGTTCGCCTTTTTTACGTAAAAAAAGTTTGGTTTGGATAAACATGTTGACTAGATCGTTATTTAACTGAAATGATACATTAATCATATTTTTTTTTAATGATAAAACAGTTTCTGGTGAACCCTTGGCACAAAAAAAAAACAGATTTATTATTTCAGTATAATAACTCTCTAGTTTTTTTAAGTAAATATGTCTAATTTTTGTCAACAATTACATGTATTAATTATTTCGATTGCAAATACTCGTACCTATATTTATCAAGAAAACCTTTCTACGCAAAAAACAATTTCCTATTACTATTTTACCTCTTCAACATTATTGAACGATCCTGGGCATGTTAAACTACAATCTATTTATTTTCCTAATTTGAAAATCGATAATAAATTATAGTTCATCCATCGTTAATTAATAACCAACAACGTTATAACAGGTATACTGAAATTACATAAAATATCTACTAGATATTGAATTGTTCTCTTACCATCTATTTTATGCATTTTTATATCTATATAATACAGCTAAAACAACAATTATGGATTACAGCTAATATTAATTTCAACATAATTAAAATGAAATGTCACAAAAGGTTCTAATAGCAATATAATCCTAATTGGGAAATAACTAGAGCATTAATATGGGATAATACCGCCCAAAACCCACTCATTAGGTAGGATTGCCAAAAACGGTAATATGGATACGTAAACCTATCAATATTATAAACTGTAGGTAAGCCTGCTAAATCAGTTCGGGACCTAGATAATTGCTTTTGAAATTTGGAATTACTAAATTAATAATAGAACATTGAAATTTAATTTAGAAATTGTTTGAAATTTGATATAGGCGTGATTTTAAAAGTACAATATTGAACGAATTTTAAGGAGAAAAAAAACGCTATATAAAGTATATAAATAGGATAGGACTAGAGAATGTAACCTAGAGGTCAGAAGAGGACCACAAGAAAAGACAGGAAGACCCAAAGTCAAAGGGTATACAGGGTAAACTAGGAAAGTATATAAGGTCTTCCAGAAATAAGTGTAAGTACTTGAAAGGGTGGTAGATCTGCCCAAAATTAACATATTTCCTCTTTACCATTTTTAAAATAAATTGATAATAACCGAGTTATTTAACTTTGAAAATTAAAAAAAGATAAAGGCAAATTTTGAGAGCCGCCGCGCCGGTAGATGAATAATCAGCCACAAATACCAAGCAATTATCCGGATCTTGATAATAAATAATCGATCGTATTTTCAGACTTCAAAAGAGAGCAGTTCGATATTTATTGGGACTGAACAGTAGAACTCATTGCCACAATTTCTTCAAAAATTTCAAAATACTGACTCTTCCTTCTTTATTCATTTTTGAATCCCTTTGCTTAATCCGCAAGCACATATCTGCTATTCCCGCAAGGCTGATCTCATAAAAATCCACTTAGGAATGCGGAGCACGATCTTTATCTGCCAACCCAGAGGTCAGAAATAGTTTAAAGTTCAATACTGTACAATGTCAAAAAATGTACAATCATCTGCCTTTGAATATCAAGTCGCTTTCATTCTTTCCCGCATTTCGCAAAGCTCTGAAATCGTACTTAGTGGAGAGAGCCCTATATGCGGTACATGACTTTTTTGTTGATGTTTAATCATGAACAATTTTGAATTTTAAAATTTTGATCATCTCACACACTGGTCAAAGGTCAAGTATTTAATATTTTATAACTCTTAAAATTATATCTATTTACAATCTTCCTATTGTAAAATTTCATTGATACGACTTTTTTTGTGTTATGCAATTATTGTCCATGTATTTTCTATTTGTAATTTTAATGACTTAAATTCTTTGGATTGTATGATTTGTATTGTATATTTTTTATTATTTGTATATTTTTTGTGCTTCTGTTTGTTTTGTAAATGCTTTGTCGATGAAGCTATTTTGTTTTTTTTGCACAATAAAGCGTTATTTGTTTGTTTGCATAGCTTGTTTGATGTCCATCAGTGTTGACACATCGACTAGATATATTGAAAAACGACTTGGAAATTTAGATTCAAAGTAAAAAAAAACTTACCTAACATTAGAAAACGAGACTCTGATAGCAGATCGATGCTATAAATACGATAATTTAATTATTGGAGCTAACAGTAATAAGAAACCAAAGTACACTTCTCTATAATTTACGAGCTTTTCGAGAAAAAAAGTCTTATAAATGGTAGGTCCCCGGAGTCTTTTGAACAGTTCATCTCGCTATTCACGAAACCTAAAACTAATTCTCTCTCGAAAGTTTGGATTTATCGACGCCATAAGGTCGAAAATCGTACGCCTGACGACGATTTTCTGTCTTCCATGCAAAAACCTTTAATAATATTAAAAGACGAATGCCTGGTGGTAAGCTCCTTGGATATTATTAGAACGAGGGAGAAATATTAAATTTGCATTTTTAGTATTTTTGCTAAATTTTTCGGAAAAAGCGTCGTTCTCATCGGTTTGGTTCGAGAGTAATGTTGTTCGGGGCACTTTAGTAAGATAGATGGCTTAAAATGGGTTTAAATTGCCGCACGTTACCCAAATTAAAGGCGGTATAAATTAAAGAAATGGATATTTTTATTGCTTTAAATTTCTTCAAAAAGCTCTGGAATTATTTTCTATAAGATACTTTTCTACCAAAGAAAATTTTTATCTAATATTGTTTTACTCTGTCTTTTAAGTAAGATGTTTTGATTTATTATGGTTAACTAGTGTGTTATTTTGCTTTTATTTAGTGTTGATATACTAATATAATATATACGGCCGGCCGGAGCGCAAGCAGTTAGTGTGTCGATCGGCGGTGCGAGATATGCGATGGTACTGGCAGGTGGATGACACTTCTTATGGGAGAACTGGCAATGGTTCAAAACTTGACTAAAAGCGATTTTCTAGGAATCTTCCTTACCGATAAATTATTGACAAGAGTGACAGATAAAACCTTGACATTCTTTCAGTATTACAGTTCGTCTCTTTTTCTTTCTAAAGTGTGCGTTGAAAGGAGACAAAGCAATTTTTGGTGACCCATAATTTGTTATTCGAACGCCACTTTTCTCCTTGTCGGGTCGTTGACGTTGACTTGTCGCCATTTTATTTCTTTTGTTTACACGCTGCAGTTTGCTTTGTAAATTTAATACATAAATTATTTAGGCAAATATAGGTTTTTGATAAGACTCCTCGTACTAACGTGTAGTTAAGTGTTGATAAATAATTTTTTTTTATCTTAACATGCTCATTGTCATTCTCCTGATTTAGGTGACAGAAAAGGATCATCAAATCAATTTGAATTTTATATATTTTTCATCCCAGGACCGATAATAAAATATATATTTTATGGATACCTTCCTAAGTATCAACGAGATGAGCCATCGGAAGAAAGAGACCATAGTACAAAACAGAAAGGTGATCTTTTTTCTTTCCACTGAGGATATTGAAATTATTATATACTGTAGTCGTGTTCGGCATTATGCTCTGAGACATATAGATAAACAAAGAACAACAGATATAAAGCATCCCAGAGGAAAAGAGAGGCAATACCTGTACTCTCTCTCTGATATTTGTGAAAGTTACGGCAAAGTATTGTTGTAAATGTCATCTTTTTAATCGACCTGAAAACTTCGAGCAAAAAGATGACACTTTCAACCATACCCTGACAGATATCAGAGACGATACAGGTTTTTCTTCTCTTTTCCTCTGGAATACTTTTAATTTAATATTCTTTGTTTATCTAGATTTCGCAGAGCACTATGAACGAACTCAGCTTGTATGTTTGAAATAATCGTCCAGTTGGCTTAAAAATGATGATCGATGACATTTCCTATATAATTTTACTTTCAAAATTATGATATATATATCTTCACTTCTAAGCCATCTATGACGCCATTTTTTTCAGTTTTGTTTTAATTAATTTTGTCTCTTGCTCTACTTGTAACATTATTCTTTTAATTTTATTAATTTATTGTGGTGAAATTAATTTCTGTTGTATATTTGATATTGATATTAAACATATTTTTAAAAAATGGTCTATTTTTTGTGTTTTTATCTATGTCAAAATTAAAAATAAATGAAGAATTAAAATTTTTTATATTTTTTTTTAAACTTCCCGCCATGCGTGACTAGGATCTAGTCCGTAGTTCCTACAAGCGATATTGGGGGCGCTAGTAGCAGTAGACTTGTCAACAGTGTCAAACTTAAACGTCAATTTCACTTTCCAATATTTAGTAAGGCCCTCGCACTCCTTGTGTATATGTTTTGTGGGTACTGGGTTCAATCCTCAGCCAGTACGGTCGCATTATTTATTTAAATAAAAATATTGATTCATCTAAATAGAGCGACCAGCGAGCCGCCATCTCAAGGAAGGCAATGGCAAACCACCTTGAGTATATTGGCCTGGTACAGCCTCTCAAATAGTGCCGTTCGGATTCCGCGATAAACTGTAGTTCCCGTGTATTTGTGAAACACTGATGACACACATCACAAGTACATGCGAGAGGTAGCCGACGCTCTGTATAGAGTATGGCAGTGTAAGAAGAAGAGTGTTGATATATCGAAAATGTACTTTTACATTGTTTATTGGTTGAAAAATTATGGCGCCCAGTTTAAATTTCCCAAGACGAGCTACACTAATCTTGTTTACACTCATACACTGTGCGTAATTGACAACGGTTGAGAGTCACTTACGCTTAACTAGTTTATTATGAACTTATTATGAGTTATTTATTTATTTATTGATTATAACGCCATTAGTGGTAATAATAACAAGTAAGAGGGTGCTATT